AATACAACAAAAAATTATGGTTGTTTTTGCAACTTTTCAGTTTGATATATTTGCAGGAAAATAGTAACTTTCATTATCATTGGAATTTATAGATTTAGATTTTTAACTCCTATAGATTGATAATAGTCCACATTATGTATACTTTCTAATTAATTATATTGTTTTTATCCAAATATTCAAGAAAACTATTTTGGATACTCTCCCACTAATATGTTATGTTTTTCCGAATTGAAGCTCCCAACAGAAGATCAACTAAAAGCCGTTCTTGATAAAGTGAAAGATTTTTTCGGAGACGCAAAGGAATCTTTTGGGAAGATAACATCATTGGGCACTATTGCAACGGAGGATTCAAATGAAGATACAAAAGAAAAAGCCAAGTGAGTTTTACTTTTTGCATCATAATGCACGAAGAAATACTCGCAATTTTGATTATATGCACTTCTATAAACATTATTCACTTAAAATGGACATGGTGTGTAATTTTCAAAATTTCTCATGATTTGGATTATTTATGTGCCAATGCCAGGGTTAAAGGATGAAACTATAGCCGGATGATTTGCTTGAATTGCTAGGGTGATTTGTTGTTCCGGAAAATTGTGTGCGGTGAACATGGTTGAGGTTTATAGAGGTGAAAATTTATGCCTAGGAAAAGGATTTTCTATTGTATAATATTTATAGTCTCAAATTACCAGCATGTATCCGCAGAACAAGAGAAATAAAAAAACCATAAGGTTGTAGCCTTTAGAATCCATGTATGCATTGTGAGTTCAACAAGAATATTTCCAAAAAGAATAATATCAATCAAATTTAATGTGATATTTTCACTAATAGAAATACCAATAGGTAGATTTTATGCAATAATATTTGATAAATTTCTTAACAAAATTTGAATATAAGGACTAAAATAAGATTTTTGAAATTACAGGGACTAAAAACAACAATTTTAAATTTGAGGGACCAAAAACATATTTACCCTAAATTTGAGGGACTAAAAACATATTTAAGCCAATTAAAATTCTATTATTTAAGCCAATTAAAATTCTATTATTTATGTAATTATATAGTATAGTCCCTCAATTCTATTCTAAAATTCAATATAAAAAATTGTAATGGTATCATAAAATATTAATTACATTTATTTTAAATTATTTTAGTTTTAAAGTAAAAGTAATTATAAAATTTAAATAAAAAACTAATTATGAAAAATTTTAAATTATATGTTAAAAATTAATGTATATTAGTAAACAAAAATAATTAACAACTTTTGCATCAATTTTCTCATTATTACATGAATAAAAGAAATGTAACTAGACATAATTTCATATTAAAAAATTATTAATATTTTTATGTAAATATTTTTAAAGAAAAATATTCAAAATTTTTCACTCAAAAGATTTTCATCCAAAATAATATTCTTATAAAATAAAAGTGATAATAAATTAATATAACAACCGTAATAACATCATAAAACAATAATTAATAATTATTTAATTTTTAAAATAAATGTAAAAAAATTTCACATACGAGACTTGTATAAATATATGTGGGATTCCCTTTTTTTATGTACACAATTTTTGTACCATTTTACTATTAAATTTTTTAATAATAAAAAATAATATTAAAAATTAATTATTTTTATACGTCTAAGACTTATTAAAAATCTTAAAATTTGAAGATTAGACATAATACCAATTAATTCAATAAACATTGATAATTTTTAAATATATTTAAATAAATATAGAGATTTTAGTCCCAATAATATATATAAAGTAAATAACTTCTTTAGCTTCCACAACTATTTTTCTCCAAAATTCTCTTCAACATATTCCTATGTACAAATTTTATAAAATAAAACTAATATTCTATTAATTATGTAATTATACAATATAATAACACATTAATGTAATAAATTGTAATGTTATCATAAAATATCAATTACATATTTTTAAATTAATGTACTTCTAAAGTAAAAATAATTATAAAATTCCCATAAAAATTTAATTATGAAAATATTTATTATTATATATTAAAAATTAATGTATATTAGAAAAAAAATAGCACATTAACACACAACTTTTGCATCCTCCAAAATTAATGTGGGATTCCCTTTTTTTATGTACACAATTTTTGTACATCATAAATGTAAAAACAATAATTAATAATTATTTAAATTTTAAAATAAATGTAAAAAAATTTCACATACGAGACTTGTATAAATATATGTGGGATTTCCTTTTTTTATGTACACAATTTTTGTACCATTTTACTATTAAATTTTTGAATAATAAAAAATAATATTAAAAATTAATTATTTTTATACATCTAAGACTTGAACTAAAAATCTTAAAATTTGAAGATTAGACATAATACCAATTAATCCAATAAACATTGATAATTTTTAAATATATTTAAATAAATATAAAGGTTTTAGTCCCAATAATATATATAAAGTGAATAACTTCTTTAGCTTCCACAACTATTTTTCTCCAAAATTCTCTTCAACATATTCCTATGTACAAATTTTATAAAATAAAATTAATATTCTATTAATTATGTAATTATACAATATAATAACATGTTAATGTAATAAATTTTAATGTTATCATAAAATATCAATTACATATTTTTAAATTAATGTACTTTTAAAGTAAAAATAATTATAAAATTCCCATAAAAATTTAATTATGAAAATATTTGTTATTATATATTAAAAATTAATGTATATTAGAAAAAAATAACACATTAACAAACAACTTTTGCATCCTCCAAAATATAAAAAATAAAAATTATAAAATTATTATTTATTGCATTAATATAGACAATGTAATTGGACATAATTCCACATAAAAATATTAATATTTTCATTGTAAATATTTTTAAAGTAAAATAGTAAAAAAATTTCATCGAAGAATTTTCATCCAAAATAATATTCTTATAAAATAAAAATAAAACACATTAATATAAACCGTAACAACACTATGACATATTAATTATTAATTATTTCAATTTTTAAATAAATATAAATAAAAAATTCGCATGTACAACATAAACTGTTAATTATAAAAATTATTAATTATTACTTTAAAAGTTCACTAAAATGTTTATATAATAGACATTATTTGACAAAAAAAAAATTCTAGAAATATTAAATATAAAGAGTAAAATTTTCAAAATTTCTCACTCAAAATTTCCATCCAAAATTTATAACTTATGAATTGCCTCATGACTTTTCATATTCGTTAATTGTAATTTGTAAGATGGTGTTACAAACTAATCACCGTTTATATAGCAGAAAATATTTCCTTATTTATTTGTATATAAAATTAATAATATACTCTCTTTCAATAAAATAATTATCATATTATTATATTTCAAGTTTTATATTTATTTTACAAATTTGAAATAAAAGGAGTGGACTTTTGATCTACATGAAAACTAATTTGGTTAAGCAACACTAATCTCTTGTTATTGGTACCAACTCAAGTAAGTGGATATATCATTATTTAAATACTTATAAGATATTATCTCATTTTAAAAGTTAAAAAATTATAAATTAAAATTTGATAATAAAATAAGATAAAATATAAATTAACTAAATAATTTTTTAAAATAAAATTATACATCAAAATAATATTAAAAATAAAAAAAATTATTGTCACCACTCATCTAATATAGTTTATAAAAAATAATTAATAATAATATATGATAAATGAATTATATATATAGCCATGATTAAAAATTAAGAACTATACATTTTAATAATTAAAAATTAATTTTACATACTTTATTAAGTTATGATTAAAAAATCATTGTATAAATATGTGTTACTTTAGAGAAAAAAGTATGAGTTTTTTGTTTGATTTAATAAATGAATGTGGATTTTGAGGAGAAGAGATAGAAAAAAAATTGAGGAGAAAATAATTTTTTTTAAGGGAGTAATTGAAAAAAAAACTGGTAGTGAAAGAAAAATAAAATAAAAAAATTTATTTAAGTCGATGATAAAATTTGAATTTGAGTATTTCCTAATAAATTTTTGCATAAGTTAAATAATAAGTTATATCGGATAGTTTATAAAAATAAGTTCAATATTTTATGAGTTACTCTTATCAGATGTTTTATAAGTTTATTCAAGCATTTTTATGCATTTAAAAACCGCACCAAATATGTGCAAGATAATGTGTTGAGATAAGTTAATAATGTGTCACATGGAGGTTTATGTTTTTAAAATTTACTCTAAATGTGCTAAGATAAATTAATAACGTGTCACATAGATGACTATGTATCATTATACATGCATTTAAAACTACTCCAAACACTAAAATAATAATGCTCTTAGATAAGTTAATAATGTGTCACATAGAATTTTATGTATCATTGTATATGCACTTTTAAAGCTACTCTAAATGCACTACGATAACGAGTCAAGATAAGTTATTACTTTGTCAAGTGAAGGTTCATGTATCATTGTACATGTATTTTAAAGATAACACGCTATAAATTAAGAATTAATCACCTATATACTGTTAGTGTAAAAAAAATTTATACTGACAACCAATTATATCTTTTAATTGTATCATGTCATTGTTAAAAATAAATATGTTTACAGTGACATGTCACAAATAAAAGATATAATTTGTTAGTGTAAAGTTTATGAAATTAATAATGTGATATATGAAATTTTATGTATCATTATACATATATTTTAAAAGTTATTGTAAATATGCTAAAATAACAAATAATATGTCATGTGAACATTATACATGTATTCTAAAAATTACTCTAAAATACCCAAAATAAGTTGATGTGTCACTTGATATCTATGTAACATTGTATGTGTTTTATTAACGTGTCACGTCAAAGATTATATATTATTTTACATGTATTTTATAAACTGTTATAAACATGTTAAGTTAATAATTTGTCACGTGAAAAATTGAAGAGTTATGTAGGATTATAAAAGCTATTCGAAACATCGAGATATGGTCCTGAGATAAGTTAATAGTGTGACTTGAAATGAAAAGAAAGCACAATGGTCTTGTCTTGTCTACCTCGATAATAAGCAAATAGTAAAAAATTCCATTGAATGTGAATATTGGTTCCTGTATCGACCTTATTGAGGTAGACACGACAGCTAGGGTTCACAGTTTGAAAATTTACCGTCTCTTTTCAATGGAGCAAGGGAGCAGAAACCCAAATACGGGTCATCAAGAGAAACATTCTTTAGATTTTGATGCCAAAATGGCCAACTTTGCTGAAAACGGGACACGAGGTTCTTCCTGTGTTCAAGAAGTTGTGAAGAAAAAGCGCGGCAGAAAGAGCAATAAGGAGAAGGAGGAGATGGAGAAGAGGAGGATGTTAGCCATGGAAGATGGGGTTTCCGAGCAGAGACCCAGTAGAAGAAGAAAGAAAGACGATGACTTTGGCGGTGGGTTTGAAATGTCTGACACTCAGCAACAACAACATGATCGTAAAGAAGAGGTGACGCCAAAAGTCAACAAGAAAAAACCTAAGGTGAGGTGATTTTATTTCATCATTCAGATATGAATATGTGTTTGAGTTTGGCTTTAGATGGTGCATTGTATTTGATGTCATGTTTCTGGTTCCCAATGATTAGTGTGGTGAAGAGGAGCCCTTAACGTGCCATCAATGTAAGAGAAATGATAAAGGTCCTGTTGTGAGGTGCACAACCTGTCAGAAGAAACGATTTTGCCTAGTCTGTATACGGGCCTGGTATAGTTTCGCCTTTCTTTTTCTTCTTTCCATGTCATGTTTACCTCACTGCATTGCCAGTTACAAAAGACCAAATCCAGTCACCGTGTTTGTGTTGCAAGATTTTGAACGGATTATTGGAATTGGAAAAGTTCTTCGTCTGCATCTATTAGTCCTGTGCATCTCAATCTTGACCTCCATCTTAGCATCTGAGTTTAATGCTTTGACTTTTCTTTTGATCTGGTCAACAGTGTGAATGGACAGACTTTGTTTTTTTCTAAAGTGTCTTTCAGTCTATGTTGTCTTTCATCTTATGTGTTGTTGACTTTCATCTATTCTTTGTCTCATGCTTCGTCTTAATTCCTTATGTTGCACTAAAGGTTGTTCTTGACACATTTTCATCTAATATTGGACTCATAGTTGTCTGGTGCACATGTTGTACTTTGTCTTATTCAATTTGATTTGTCTGGTTCTCATGATGTGCCTTGCCTTAATTATTCTTTTATCATAGTTGACCATCTAGTTTCATCTAATGTTTAACACATCTTTTTTTTTCAGGTTTAGTCTTGTTTCGGTTTTTCTTCCGATACTTCAATGTCTCCACTTGTAGTAGGCCTCATCTAGTGTTTGTTGAATGTTCTTTTGTCTATGATCAGACCTAATCTTGATGCTTGGCTAGCTATCATCTGATTCCCTTGTTTAGTTTGTCTAGGCTTTGTAGATCTTGCATTTAATGCATTTGATCTTGCATTAAATGCTTGCTCGGTGATTTTGGGTTACGTGAAGTCTTTTGTACCGTTTGTATACTTTTATGTCTGGGTTCAATCATGACCTAGACATCTTTGTACTTTCCTATCATTGTAGTTGTAGAGGCGTTGTCTTTTACTGACTGGTAGGTGTACTTGCTCTGACACATGCAGCTTTGACTTGTGGATAAGCGCTCGTCCATTTTTCTTTTCTCTCTTTTTCTATATTGATTGTTGCAACCCGAAAATTTCCGATCTTGCGACCTATGATTTAGACATCCTTTTAAAAATCTCATCAATTGAGGAATGCCCGGACACCAGACTAATCCTTAATTGATGGTTTTGAAAATATGTTTTATGGAGTCGCCACCAATGTTTTACTCAAAACATTGGAAAAAGAAAAGATTTTTTTAAAAGGTCCAATAATGGCCTTGATAACCAGAATTGGGTTCGGGGGTCGGTTACGTGTAAGGAAGGTATTAAGCACCCTTACAGCGCCCTAAATCGGTACCCTATGAACTCGGCGGTACCCTCGTTGTCGTAGTATTTTTCGTAGCCTCTGCAGGCCGTAGTATTTTCGTAGCCTATGCAGGCCGTAGTATTTTCGTAGCCTCTGCAGGCCGTAGTATTTTCGTAGCCTCT